GGGAGGCTGAGTTGCTGGGCAAAAGCTAAGGAGCTGAGGAGCTAGAGTCTGATGCATTCTCATGAGTCTGGGGAGGCAAAAACCAGAGCAGGAAACCAACTCTGAAGAAAAGATTCGCATCTCAGATGGGACCCAAAAGAGCCATGCTGGTGGTGTGTTAGATCTGGCTTATACCAGTTCCTGAAAGCTAGTTTTGTACATTTCTTTATAATTCCAAGGTCAGTGATGTCACATAGCTTAAAAATGGTAACAGTGGAAGTATTTACACCATGAAAACTGACAAATGCTACCAATTAGACAACTACCTTGATGTGACCATGAAAGTTATGACCACACCACTGGCTGCATTCAGAAAGTAAGATCAAACCAAAAATAAACTAATCATTGGAAAGACTAAAAACCTATTTAAAAAATCAACCTCAGGTTTAAATGATCAGTCTTTATCTTCTGGCAAAAGCAGAATTATATCCTGACTGGAGGAGAATGGAATGCAGTCCATTACTATACGGGATATTTTGTTGTTGCTTAGTTTTTATGAATAATGATCATCACTCAATAAAAAGTTACCAGGCACATGGAAATGAAATCAAGAAGACAAAAATTAAGAGAACAAAACAAAACAAGATAGACAACTGAAACAAACCAATATTAGATACAGAGAAAATTCTGAGTAGACTTTAAGATAACTGAGTGAAGTCTTCAAAAAGTACAAAAGAAAATATGAAGAATTAATTTAATTAGGATATTGGAATCTAATAATCAAATTGTAATTCTAGAAGTAAAAAGTAAATTGACTAAAATTACAAAATCCATAGATAGGTCTGAAAGCAAATTAAAAACAGATGAAACAGGATTAGTAAATTAGAACAGTGCTTTAAGACTATGAGCTCGCAGGTATGTGGGGCCTGAGAGTTTGCATTTCTAGCAGTCTGCTACAGTTCAAATCTTGAATGTCTCCAAAGGCTGATATGTTGAAGGCTTGGTCCCCAGCCTGTGGTGCTACTTGGGAGATGGTGGAACCTTTAGAGGAGGTAGGGCCTAGCAGAAGGAAGTAGAACACTGGGAGTGTCTTTGAAGGCGATATTGGACCTTGGCTTCTTTTTTCTCTCTTTTGCTTCTTGGTTCCTCCATTATTCATTCCTGCCATGAAATACTATCTTGTCACAGGCCCAAAAGCAATGGGGACAATTAGCCATGAACTGGAACCCCTAAAACCATGAGCCAAAGCAAATCTTTCATCCCAGGTACTTTCTTGTAGCAACAAAAAGCTGAGTGACACATTGCCTCATGGGTGAAAACCAGTGCTCAGACATGACCCAATGCTATTGCTGCTGTGAACTCAGGGACAACTATCTATCAGGGACGTAACTAGGAACCAGGTAAAGAGATAAAAATACAAAGAGGACAAAGACTGTATCAAGCTTGTATAAGTGAAATTCCAGGAGAGATGAGAGACTGGGGAACAGAAGAAACATCTGAAGAGAATGGCTGGTTTCTAAGCCTTATGAAAGAGACCAAGGTACAGAGTGAAAGAGCGCCAAGAACCCTAAGCAGGATAAATACAAGAAAAGTACTTAAGCAGGGTGCTAAGATGGAGAAGGGATCTCCTCATGAAGATCTGTGATGGAGTTTTTGTCGAAAGAAGTCTATTTCAGTGGGAAAGACTGGGAAGACCCACAAAATTCTTGAAACACACATAAAACAAACAATCTCTGAGAAAATCAGGGATAGAAAGGAACTAACTCCCAAATTATTATATATAACTTTTACACTTAACGGTAAAATTCCGAAAACTCTTCCCTTGAGTTTGTGAAGGAGACAAAGATGATGAGTTCTGTTTATTAATGTAGTGGAAATTATGGCCAGTAATAATATGAAAAAAAAAGAAAGCTATGAAGACTGGAAAGGAAAAGAAAATTGAACGCATAGAAAATGTGAAGAACACTCCAGAAAAGCTATTATAATTGGAGACTTAGATGAATGAAGGTAAATATACTTTAATCAATCATATTTCTCAACAGCAATAATAAAATTGAAAATAAATATTTTTAATAGTAGCAAAGAGAATACATACAGGGATAAATTCAATACTTTAAATGACAAGTAAGATTTGTGTACAGAAAGCTATAAAACGTAACTGATACAAGTTGGAGAAGACCAAAATTAATGAAAAGATATCTTTAAGATAGAAAACTTGCCATTATTCCAACATTAATTGCCCTGAAAATGATCAATAGAACCATTGCCATCTTAATTAAAACACCAGAAGGAATTTTGGTAACACTTGACAAAGTTAGCAAAGCAAAGGAGCAAGATAAATAGAACAATTCCTAAGAAAAAACAGTTGAAATATTTATATAGTCATGACCAAAACTTATTATAAAGTTACAGTAATTAACCTTGCATATGTGGAAAGATTAACAAACCCACCAAAGGAACAGAATAACACTCCAGGAAAGGCCCACATGTGTACAAGCACTTGGTTTACTACAAAGGTGATCAATCACAACAGTGAGGAAAGAATGAGATCTTCAAAAAATAACAGGTTTCAAATGGACAGACTGAAAAAACCTTGACCTCTCCCACCTCCCAAACATACCTCACACCTCAAATAAAAATGAGTTCTAGTGCAACTAGAGATCTAAAGGCAAAAGGCACACTGATATAATTTTTAGAATAGTTCATTAAGAGGTATCTTCAGGATGATGTGGAGAAGGTAAACATTTCTTAAGTGGGACACAAAAAGCACTGACATAGAAAGGTAAATATTGATAAGTTGTACTATACTAAAATTCAGAATGTCTAGTCTTCAAAAAGCACCAGGAGGAGAATGAAAACACAGGTCATAGGATGGAAGAATATATTTAAATTATTATGACCTTCAAAGATTTGTATCTATAACACACACACAACTCCTGTAAATCATGGGGTGGGAAACAAATCACACTGCTAAGCCAACAGATAAATGGCAAAAGATCTGGAAAGTATATGGATCTTCTAGCATATACTTTCTAGCTGTTGGGATTGTAAATTCGTTCAACTTTTTGGGAAACCTATTTGACAGTATCTAGTGGATAATTTCCTATGAGCCAGCAATTACACTCTTCGCTGAACATAGCAGAAACATAAAGAACAAAAGATAAAAACAAGAATGTCGACAACTCTATCAGTTGCACTACTAATACTAAGATGTTGAAAATAACTACTTCCCCTTTAATTGTAGAATGAAAAAATTATATATGCATGCTATGGAATAGTATAGAGCAATGAAAATGAATGAATTACAGCTACTTCTAAACACACACACTAGATTTACCAACATAATGGTAAACAAAACAAATGAACAAACCAAATTCAAACACTGAGAAACTCTCCCATTTACATCCAGTTTAAAAACAGGTCAAACTAATAGAGAGTTAGAATGAGGGAAAGGACAGAAAAGGGTAATAACCCATTTACAGCACAACAAGGGCCTCCACCATACTAAGAATGTTCCATTCATGGATCTGACTGGTTGTACATCTCAAAATTCCTTTCATAAAAGTGAACATTGACTACTGTAAATTATATGTAAGACTTATGTACAAAAAAACTATAAGCATTACCTTTATACAGGCATGTTATAGTTAAAAAACATTGTTGATAAAGAAGTAAAATTTAAAAACAGAATGAAGTATAACAGGAACAGATCAGTAGTTGCCAGGAGTTGGGGAAGAAAAGAGAAGATGGCTACAGAAGGGTAAGAAGGAGTCTTGGGTACTGATGGAACTGCCCCACACCTGGCTTCTGATACAACAGGTTCTACTACTACATGCATTATCAAAATTCACACAGCTGTACACTGAGATTGAATTACACTGTATGTAAACCATACCTCAATAATAAATGACTTGACCATATGAGAGTGAATTAATTTATTTTTATGTTTGTGGAAAGTTAATTATCTGTGCTATTTGCAATTTTCCTTGACTAAATGAGAAAGCAAATTAAATTTGCCTATTTGAAAAATATTTTCTTATCTTTGTAGCCACTAAAACTTGTGAAATTAACATTGAGAAAATCTGGGGGAAATAAAGACTGATATTCACTTTGTTTTTAATGAAATCATATGTCATTTTTGATATTCATATATAGCATACTAGACAAACAGTACTAAGCATTAGGTTATTCCTTTTTATATTTATTCCTATAATGTTTTTGAGTAAAAATAACAATAGTGCATACATTTTTGAGTTATTAGAAACAACAGAAAATTTCTACTTAATCTACACCTCTTTAAGGTGTAGATTCAGCCTATGAATCTAGAAGCTAAATATTGGTTTCCCTATTCAGCCTATGAATCTAGAAGCTAAATATTGGTTTGAGATTATTCATTTCTGGGGCATTCTAAGAAACAGTTTGCATTTATTGCATCTCAAACTTACATTTATTTTGAGTGCTATCATTCTAATATATCTATGAATGTGAAAGGATGAAAAGAAATTGAGGCTTATTGTGAATTTAGTACACACTTGGGATGGACAAATGGATGGATAGACAGAGATGATAAATGAACACTCATTAAAACCACTCTATGGAGAAGTAAAAAAACCTAGGGACTTTCAGTAAGTAACAAATTATGAAAAGTGTCTCTTAGGAAGCAAGGAAATAAGAAGCCTGTTTGCTCACAGATATTTATTTAGATTTCATTCATTTATTTGTTTTGCACTGAGCTGCACCCCCTACTCATGCTCATAAGAGCTTCAAATGCTGCATAATTTTGAGACATCCAAAGATCTATCATACTCATGCAAGTAAATCCTGGATAGTAGTTAAAATTTCACTCTTCAAAAGAAAAAAAGATATTTAGTTGCTTTTAGCTGCCTAAGGTCATTTAACTCTTCTAGGTTCCCTCCTCCCCACCCAAACTTGAAATTCTCTCTAAATTCTTATAACTTAAGGGTTACTACATTTTTATAGCTACTGGCACAAACTTATACATTACAAGACAAATATCTTACCACTTGTGCTGGAACCTGTTCCATTTTTGCAGCAGGAGTTCCTGGTCTTGGGTAAAACTGGTTAATAAAGAGGCTTGGGAACCTGTACTCTTCAACAAGTTTCACTGTTTCTTGAAAATCCTGCTCTGTTTCTCCAGGAAAACCACAGATAATATCTGTAGCAATGGTAATTCCAGGAACTCTAGAAAAACAGTAAGACAAAAATGTACAAAGTTGACAACACGCCATAATTATCTCCCTGACATTTTAAACAGCATGATTTTTTTAAAAATTACATTTTATTTTTAGGAAAGGCACACTTGCAAATAGTTTTTTAAAAGCCCCTAAAAATTAAAGGATTATAATGAAAAACAGTGGTTCCTGGCCATCCTCAGAGACGTCTTTTAAGATGTTTCTTTGTTCTCTCCTTTGTATTTAAAAATAGATGCTTTGCCTGCTATTTGTAGATTTGTTGATTTTTAGGAGCTATTTACTGATTTGCCTATTGCAGTAACTGAGGCCTTAGCTTTTAAAGTACTGTATCCTTCTTTTGCAATGTAAAGTGTGTGAAGTTTCCAGTTCAGTTGATAGTACTTCCAGCGATAGAGTTGCAGAGATACTGTTCACTACAGGGTCAACTGCTATGCCCTCAAATTATATTTTACAAGATTTAATTTTTCCTAAGGTTAATAATTACCTCTTTGAAAATTTTTGCTTAATATTTTACATTCCGATGCTAATATTTTCTGAAAGTTCCATCAGACCTATCAAAAGCCAACACTATTTTCTAAGCATTCAAGTTTTATTTAATTTACCAGTTCATTTTTTCCCCTTTTCTGGAAATACCACTCCTACTTTCTTCAGCTATCTACTGTGTATACAATGAACCTGCTGCTATCCTTTAATGTTGTTCCTGGTCACTCTTTCTCTCTCTCTTTTTTTTTTAAGTCTTGTTTTATTTATTTTATTTAATAATTAATTTTTCTTTCTTAGGGACATGTCTCTTTTGAATGCTGAAAATACGGGATGGATCCTTGGCTTCTTCTTTCTTATTTTCCACTTATGTCTTTTAGTTCTATTTTCTGGAACAATTACTTGAACATATTTTTCAATCTTTTATTATAAATGAATTCAACATTATAGTTCAAATTTCCCACAACTCTTTCTCATTGTTTAATTTTCCTTTTCAAAGCATCCTGTTTCTGTTCTTAAGATGCAACATTGTTTCTTATTTATCTGATGATATTAAAAATTTTCCTCAAATTTTTTGATCACTGTATTTGTATCTATTTCCTCCAGATTTATACTTTGATCTCATTGATGGTTGAGACTTTTCATCAATGAACAGCAATTCTTGCTGCTCTTTCATATTTAAGAGCCCAAAACACTAAAAGCTTTTTAGCACAGGAGGGGTAGCAAGTTGAGTTTGTTTTTGATAGGCCAAAATGTGAGTGGCTTGGAAGTCATTTTCACTGTGGCCATTCAGTGTCTTTGAAGTATGATACAATGTCCTCTTGTATTTTAACAATGTAACAATAACAGAATGACAGTAACACTCAAATGTTTTGAACCATGAACAATAGGAAAAATATTTCAAATCATAAAACAAATACTTATATTGATTTTCCTGTCATCTAAATGCAGTTCTAGACAGATGAACCCAACAGTTTTGGGGTGTAAGAGAGAGCAAGGGATGTAAATGAGGAAAGTCAAATTACTGAGTTCCTAATACAAACAACTCAATAAAAACAACGGCCTTCCACACTTTGTGTACTACTTTGTGCATGTGTAAAAATATGACAAATTTATTTTAGAGAATATTTTGTTCCTGAAGCCTATTTTGTCTCATCTAATTGTTTATTTGGCTAAAATGTAATTGGCAAGGTAGATTCTAAGGACTAGAACTTTTCTCTGTGATGATAAACAGAAAAGAGACAATGATCATACAGAAAGATGAAATGGTATATTTGAAAAAAAATTAAAATTTTTTACTGTGACATAAACACATTTTTTCTTCTTTAAGGATAATCAATATTACATTTGAAAAGACTAAAAGTCATATGCTTCTACAGTAAGATGTACATTGAAAATTCATTTCTCTAGACTAAAGCACATGTGACAGAAAAATATTATAAGTGGATTTTCAATTAGCTAGTTTACACTTGTCTTTTAACTACACCTGGCCAAATAAAACCACAACAAAAACAAAACAGGTAACAGCAGATAATGACAGACAAGTCTATCTCCCCAAGAAAAAAAAGTTTTAAAAATGCTCTTAGAAACTGCCTGTGCAATTCCTACGTAAATAGAGACAATTGGTTATTGTCCTAATCTATGAATTGGAATGAATTTGGCAATAGATCATGGGGTATTCCCAAAGGAAAGCCCCTTGCTGAGTCCCCATCGTTCTGGACCCGTTGGTTTGGCTCAGTATGATGCAACACCTGCTTACTTTGGCCTTCAGGACCAGCAGGGAAAAAAAAGACAACCCTTTATAGGACTCATAAAGAACAGGATAATGAGTATGTGAGTGTATTTGATAACTGCCACATAAAATGGACTGAAATAACACAGGAGGGAACAGGCTATTAGGAATTAGTGACTTATACTATTCAATATTTAAAGTAGAAATAGTTTAATTGGTTTCAAACTCCGTAAGAATATATGCTGATTACTTATGTTTTTAAAGCAGAGACTATATCTTAACATTAGATGAGGCTCATCTATACATTATTTTTAAATATGCAAATGATGCTGCTTACATTCTTGAAAATAATTTGATCCCTTAGGTTAGACAACTAAAATCACATTTACACTGTTAATTTGCCTAGCAAACATTTCTTCTCGGTATGGGGAAATCAAAGAAGTTTGAAGAGGGAGGGGGCGGAGTGGGTGGTAAGGGAGGGGGTGGGGGCAGGGGGGAGAAATGAACCAAGCCTTGTATGCACATATGAATAATAAAAAAAAAGAAGTTTGAAGTGGTACAAAGTCTGACTAAAGTGGCTAAGAGGAAATTATAAGGGGTGTAAAACAGAATATTAATCCAAATATTTAAGATGCTAATTCTGAGTAAGCAATGTTTTTAAGGTACTATGAATTTTTTTAAATGCTCAAATTTTTTAAATTATCATTTCCACAAATTTATTGAAGCTATGAGTACAATGCATGCAATCACTAAGTAGTATGTGGTCTTAAATTTTAAAAATGTTCTATATCTATGTTTTCATAATAGTTTTAAAAGATAATCCTAAAAGAAAGGTGAAAATAAAAATACTCCAGTAGTGTAAATAACAGGAAAAATTTGACCCATTATTTTTTCTGTCTTGTATTTACTGGCAAAATGGGTTTGTTAAATAACTTGGAAGCAAAGTAAGAATTATTCTCATTATGCATATGACCTTGTCAGAGCAGTGCTAGCCTTAGTTATGAAAATCTATGAGGAACATGGAATTAGAGGACTCATTATTTGCTAGCCCCAGACTGGGATTTAAGAAAACCCTAAATATTTTAAGAGTTAATTATTTTACCTTGAATACACACACACACACACACACACACACACACACACACACACACATACCCCATACTTTGAACATGTGGAATACTTCTTAAAATGTATTTTAGTTCTTCTCAAGAATTTCACTTGCAATTTGGTGTTTTATTGGCAAAAACATGAAGGAGGGTGGTATTACTTTATTTTTTAAGTCAAGAAAATATGAGCCTCAATTCTACATGTGAAAAAATTAGTACTAATACATATGCTACTTATCTCAAAAGAAAATTAGAATCGCCAAAATTATTAGGCATAAACAAAACACATGAGTAAAAGAAACTTTTTTGTTTTAGTCCTATTGAGATTTATTTTAGAACAATTACTCTAAACTATTGGGAAAAGTAATTTGGAGGTAGGTAGGGGAGAAAAACATCTTGAATTGAATGAAAATGAAAACACAGCATATCTAAATATATGATTATATAGTTAAAGTAGTCCTTAGAAGGAATCTGTAGATTTAATATCTGTGTGAGAAAGATATAAAAGTCAGTAATCTCAACTTTCATTTCAAGACGCTAACAGAGAGGGGCAAACTGAACTCAAAGTAAAATAAAGAGGGGAAATAATAAAGTTAAGAGAAAAAAAATCAATGAAATAGAAAACAATAAGGAAAAATTCAAAGAAAGTAAAAGGTCCATCTTTGAAAAAAATTGATCAATTACTAAAGGACCAAATAGACAAAGAAAAAAGTCAAGTGATCAACTTCAGGCATGAAGAAGGGACATCACACTAGAGATGCTATCAGCATTGAGGACACTAAGAACAACTCTGTGGCAATAAATTCCCAACTTAAGGTGAAATTGATTATGAAAATGGACTCAAGAAGAAAATGTGAATATACTTTCATCTGTTGCCAAACTAATGAATGACAACATCTTGCCATCAAGACAGACAACACAACCCAATTCTAACAAACATAAGAAAGAATAAAATTAGTTTTATAGACTCTATTAAGATACTTGAGAAAGGAGCTGATTTTATAAGTCTAGAGTCAGAGAAATAACTTAAAAATAAACTCTAGATCGGTATCTCTCATGAAAGGAGAAAATACTTTCTTTTTATTGTACAAAACAATGGGTTTCATTATGATACTTTCATCCATATACACAAAGTACTTTGATCTTATTCACTCCCCTATTATCCTTTCTTGTCCCTCCTCCCCAATTATGTCTTTTTGTTTGTATTTTTAGATCTAGATTTTGTAAATAACGGAAAACATGCAATATATGTATTTCTGAGTCTGGCTTATTTTGCTATACCTATACATTTATGCTTAATTTTCAACAAACTGCTAAGCTAATGCAATAAAGATAGTAGACAAAGAATTTTCAATAAATGGTATACAAGTGGCTACCATATGTGAAAAACAAACAAAACAAAAACCCTACATGTATTAGATCCTTTACCTTACAAAATTAAAAGAAAGTTCAATATGTATCGTAGACTTAAAAGTAAGGACTAAAATTTTAAAATTTCTAGAAGGAAATATACAGAAAAATCTTTGTGGCATTAAGTTAGGCAAAGATATCTTAGCTATAACACCAATGCCAAAAATACTATCCAAGATAAACTCAACTGGATTTATTTGAAAGACATCCTTAAGAAATGAAAAGACTGGAAGGCTGAGGCAGGAGGACAAGTTAGAGGCC